GCCACACCCAACAGCAGAAACTCATTAGCATATTAGGCCACACCCCTGACAGCACAGCTCATTAGCATATTAGGCCACAACCCCATGTATGTTACCAGAAGTGTGGTCATCCAGCCACACCCACCTTTTGCTCCTTATTCTGTTTACTTTGTTGTCAAAACCCAGGGCTTTTTTGTAGCAGGAACTCTTTGCATGTTAGGCCACACACCTCTAATGTAGCCAATCCTAATGAGTTTCTGCTGTTGAGTGTGGCCTATTATGCTAATGAGTTCCTGTTGGGCGTGGCCAACTCAGGAGCCAGCCGGAACTCCGTTCCTGTGCGTTCCTGCCCAAAAATAGCCCTGCAGATTTCTATTTTTTAATATTATGACGGGGGTTTTTCTCTCCCTCACATATTATGCTTACCCTGTATGTTGGTCTTAAGACCCTAATAATAATAAACTAAACTAAACTAGAATTAATCTCTTCAGTTTTTATAAGAATGTATTCCTATGATTGATGGTCTTTGACCGCAATAAATATATTCATTCATTCAACCCCAGTTGATATCCTAGTTTGGAGTCCACCAGTCAAGTATCGGCTTACGTAAATGTACACATGTGAGCTTGCAGGGAACGTGCGACCCATTCTGAAGACAATGGTCAGCAAACACTATTGACTGGTGAAGATGCTTTGGACCGCTGCCGTTTGGCTGGAAGCAAAGCAGTGCGGGGACGTGGTGTGTCGTTCAAGGGTTCAGGGCACGGAAGGTGGAAAATCGGATGTCGTCGCGATGCAGACGCCTTGCCCGGTTACATAATGGGGAAGCTCGCTGCTGTTGCAACGCCGCAGATGTTGTTGGTTCCTTTTGCGATTTGGATGTAGCCTTCTTCTCCCCATTCTGTACCCCAGCTGTCGGAGAATTCGCAGGAGAGTGAGATTCCATGAGCACGTGAAAGAGGAACACAGGAAGCTGCCTTAGACTGAAGCAGATGGGGGGGGGGGGTTTCCCTGTGCTGCTACCTGAAACCCTTCAACTGGAGATGTCGGGGACCGAACCTGAGAAGTTATGTATGCAAAGCTTGAGTTGTCCCACCCGAGCAGTGCAGTGGTCCCTCTCCACCTGAAGGGCAAGTGCCCTGCATTTGAATATGAGACGAGGGTTCTCTGGAATAACCCCAGAACTGACCTAGATTATCTGTCAATTGCAATTCTTGCAGCCGGGCAGCTCCCTATCAGAACCTCACCCCCGCCCCAGCTAATCGTCTGGTGTTTCCTCTGTGGAGGGTTTTGGGTTTTTTTTTACATTGGGTGAAGTTTACTCAGGTCACCTAGTTCACCTAAGTCTTCCCCTGAGATTTTAAGCACTTTACCCCACCCTCTTAGATTAATTTTTATTGACCCCATTCCTAGTCCGTCGAGGTTGATTATGTCACCCCATTCCATTTCTTAGCAGGCTTGGCAATACAGCCTGTGAGCTTTTAGGAAGACACAATTTTGCGCAAGATTTTCAGAATAAAGTACAAAAAGAACCAGGCCCCCCCCCCCATCTAACTTAAAAAGTAACAAATTCAACAGCAGACCCAAGTGATTAAAACTAACTTGAACGAGTCAGAAATAGACTAATCAAAGAACATCAGATTAAGTTCCAGGGTGGTGATCAACCTATATTTAAATAAGTATTGCAGAGTCTCAGAGCCGCAGATATATATCTGGCAACGTGTGTTGTATCGCGTGATCATTCCAGAAGGGTAGTTGTCTTAGCCTATTACTGCGAATTAAAACAGAGGTCCAGTGGCACCTTGAAGACTAACAACATTTATTCCCGCATGAGCCCCATCTCAAAAAAAAAAATTGTGCTGGAATAACCGGAGGTGCACAGGCAACGCTGTTTTATTGGGGGGCATTTAAAGCCCCCCATGTGGTTTTGTTTGTGATTTCAGATTTTCCTGCAAACCTGGGGGAGGTCCCACAAATTTGCAGGAAACTGTTTATTTTTAGTGTGGCCCCAATCTGTGGATTTAGATATCTGCAGGTGGGGACCACACATTGCTATCTCCCTATATTATAAAAGCCTTTTAGAGGTAGCACTCTCCAGAACATTTGACACGCTCCGGAATTGGTTGGCACCCTAGAGTGTCACTCACAGGGCATCTGTCTCCACTGGCTGCGTTGCTGCCTCCCTTGCCATGGTCCTGCCCACAGAGGCAGCACCCGGCATCTCGGACTCACTCTCCTTGCAGCGGGTGGACGGGACATACGCTGTGGCGGCCAGGGACCGGAGCCCAATCGTGCCGCAGTCGTCCTCACCCCAGTACAAGTTGCCACCCACCCTGTGTGCAGCCAGATGACAGATGGGACACGCACTCCAGTGGAGGGGGGGGCCAGCCCGAGCCTGCCGCCATCACCTGAGCCCAGCCACAGGTTTCCCCGCTTACCCGCTGAGCCGCCCGGGCAGTGACAGGCCTCCAGAGGCCCCAGCACCACCTCTCCCTGCTCGCCCGCCAAGCTGGACAGGGGGAAGGCCTCTGGAGGCCCCCATGCCACCTCTCCCCGCTCGCCTGCCGAGCCAGATGGAGGGGAAGGCATCCGGAGGCCCCCACACCAGCTTTCCCCACTCGCCCACCAAGCGGGATGGGGGGGAAGGCCTCCGGAGACCCCGTGCCACCTCTCCCCACTTGCCCGCTGAGCCGGACTGGGGGAAGGCCTCCAGAGGCCCCCGAACCACCTCTCCCCGCTCGCCTGCTGAGCCACCCGGGCAGGGAAAGGCCTCCAGAGGCCCCCGCACCAGCTTTCCCCATTTGCCCTCTGAGCTGCCCGGGTGGGGAAAACCCTCCGGAGGCCCCCACCCAGGGGAGTAGGCGAGGTCTGGAGCCCTGGCCTGCTGGGGCCTCCGCCAGTGGTGGGGTTCGGGGAGGGGCCACGGCTAGGCGGCCTGGCCCCCCAGGGTCTCAAGCAGTGGGGGGAAGACATGAGGGGAGCCACCACCGGCCGGCCTGCCTAGCGTTTGTTGTCTTTATTGCCACAACGGGCCTTCTTCCTAGTTAGATATATAGATAATACTTGATATTCAATACTCGATATAATACTTGATATTCCAGACATCCTGTTGTGGCTTCCTTATGGTTGTTGTTAGCTGGAGAATGGGATGCAAATCTTTTAAACTAATTAACCACCTTCCTTAATAGTTTTCAGCCCACCTACAGTTTTAGGGGAGCCTCTGAGCCACAGTAGAATGCACATTAATTTTTTCCCCCACCCAAGGCATCAATTTTACCCTGGTTACCTATGGAAGGAAAACTCATTTCATCGCAAAGGAAATAAAGTAGGGATACAAAATTTCTGTATTACCCCCCCCCCTTCATTTGGGAATGGACGCCTTCCGCCCTTCCTATTTCTCACCTGTTCTTCAGGAGCCAATAACTTTGTCTGTCCCAGCCATATTGAGATACGCCATAGCCAACCACCAGCATCCCATGGTCCAGGGACTCACCACAACTTGGAAGGGAAAAGACTCCTGGATGGGAGAATTCAGAGGGGGAGGGGGGGGTCAAAGATCAAGCATCAGTCCTCTTCTCTGCACAACTCCCCCCCCCCAGAAAGAAATCCAGAATTCGTCCGCAAGCAACATAGGTTTGGGAGCCCAAAGTAAACATCCTAGCATAACACCGCTTAAGATAACCCTGCCGTGCGTGTTCATCACTTGAAGGCCAGAGTGTCAACATTCTTCTCAACATTTCTAAGATCTGCCCCTTTTCAGTTTACACCAGCAAAACACTGAGCCCTTCTCTTCTCTTGTATTGACTACTGCAGTGCCTTGTTGATGGGGCTTCCTTCTTCCTGTCCCTGTCCCCCCACTTCCTCTCCTTCCTTCTGAGTGGGTTATGCTGCCTGCTATGGAAAGGAGAAGAGACAGGCGAAGGAGCCATGGAAGAGTGGGAGAGCCAAATCCTCTGCTTACGAATTTTCGAGGGAAAGATATTTCCACGGTACAGCTCATCCTTATATGGCTTTCAGGCTAGTTTTTCTTTAACCCAAAGGTACAGCTAAAAATTTTAATCAATGTCGTGGGAAGTAAAGTACAGATGCTACTAAACGGTTTGGGGGGAGACAAATGTGGACAATCACAACGTGATCAGAGAACAAATATAAGGAAAACAGTCGTGAGAGTCTGACCCACGAATCAAGCAGTCAATAAGACTTCCAAAGAATCAGAAGCTTAGCAGCATATTTGAGCCTGAATTCTTGTTGAGATCGGCGTCCTATCTAAATGTGCTATCTTTCCTGATTTTTTGTAAAGCACTTTATGAGCAAGAGAGCTTTTGTACTACTCTAATATTTCCTAAGGAAGATCCAGTTGTGAAACATTGTCATGGGTCCGGGTCCGGCTGAGGCTGACCCCTCCTCAGAGGAGGAAGAGGCAGGGAACAACTCAGCCTCCTCTAGAGACAGCCCAGAGGAAGAACCCTGAGCAGTACCCGAGGAGGAGGAAGAGTCCCCGGCAGCTGCACAAGGGGTGCAGCCAGAAGGTGAGACCATTCCTGAGCCGGGGTCAGCAACCCCAGCCACAGACATCCCAAGGCCAGACTCTCTGCCTAGTTCCCCCGAGTTCCCCACACGTAGGGCACGGCAGAGGCTGACTTTGCAGGAACGAAGAAGAAGTGCCAGGCTGCAGCTCCAGCAACGTCAGCGAGAGGAGTTGTAAGCCTCTGCAGACTCAACTCCAAAGGGAGGGAGGATCTGTCTAAAACCCCTTGGTGCACCTGCTCCAGCGCGGCAGCAACTCTGCAAAATCAGACCTGCTTCTGAGTGTGCAGCAGTCGCTCCTTGCCTTTGGAAACCTACATTATTGAAATGACTTCCCAGCTATCAGACCTTCGGCTTTCTCACTGACCTTGATTCCGGGTCGTGTCTTCAGCTTCTAGTTTATCGCCTCAGTGGCTACCAGCCAAGCCAGCACAAACGATATATAATCCGGAGATGACATTGATGTGTTTTTACACTAGGATTTTCTTATGATTTCAAGGACTTTGTTTATTGTGTTATAGTGCTTGTTGACCATAATATACAGATTGTTGACTGCTTGATTCATGGGTCAGACTCTCATGACTCTTTTCCTTACATTTGTTCTCGTGGTTTGGGCCACAGGTCTCTGTCATTCAGTTGCGTCCCAAACCTCTAGACAGGAACATGGAAACCTTCTGGAGACACAGCTGCTGCTTCTGGACATGGCCAGTGATGATTTTCTTGCTGCCAAGCGATGGTAAAGTGATACGACCTCTTAAACTGCTTTTTATTCCTGGTGAATGTTTTTTTTTAATTTGTTGGTGAACTAAATGATTTTACAAAAGTTTTTAACTACTTCTGTTTTTACAACACTCTTACAGCTGCCGTGGGTTTTTCTGGCCCTTTTGTTGATTTGGCCATCATTTTTTACCAGTTTTTAGTTTAAAAAAAAATTCCCTTACCTTGAGATCTTTGTTGGTAAGCGAGGCAGTACATGAATGAATTTGACAGATCAGTTCATCAAGTTACTTTGCCAAGATTTTTATGACCCAGGGTTTTTTTGACGATAGCAAGAATTTATTTGAACTGGATTTTTTGGCGAGTTCATTGCGTATGTTCTTAATTGTTACCCGTTCTGCCAGGAGTTACCACAAGCCGCCGGACAAAGAGTCCCACCGCACCCACCCTGGATGCTATCCAAACCCTTCATTCAGGTAAATTGCGTAAGTGGATTTTTGAAAAAGACCCTCCATGTGATATTAACCAGGTTTGCCAATCCAAATTTCCCCATTGATACCCTCAGTTTAAGAAAAATAATTTTTCTCCTCATTATTTAGCTGACATCTCTAATTCCCCATTAAGGAAGGCATTTATGCACGCTTTCAAACCATGCCGTCTGCATACCTTCAGGGCAGATTTCAAAGAATACCTGTGGATCAGCACCTCTGCTCCTGAAGTTCTAATCAGATGGAAGATATTGTTCATTATATTTTACACTGTCCTCACTATGAGCCCATTCGAAATAAACTGTTGAACCAGTTCCTTACAAATTTTCCCGGTTCAGAGGAGGAATATATGAAATTTTTGTTGGCTGATGCTATCCCAGATGTTACTCTTAAGGTGGCTACTTTTATTTTTCTGTCATCAAGCATAAGGAAGAAATTAATTTTGGCTGCTCCTACAAGAATTTTAGCCAAACTATAATTATTTCACATTTTAGTAAAGGTAAAGGTTCCCTTGCTCGAAAGCCAGTCGAATCCGACTCTAGGGTTGCGGTGCTCATCTCCGTTTCAAAGCCGAAGACGTTTCCGTGGTCATGTGGCCGGCATGACTAAACACTAAGCCGCATGGAACACTGTTACCTTCCCACCGAAGTGGTACCTATTTATCTACTTGCAATTTCTTGCTTTTGAACTGCTAGGTTGGCAGGAGCTGGAACTAGAGACGGGAGCTCACTCCATCATGCGGCACCCGGGTCTCGAACTGCTGAACTACTGACCTTCCACAGCCTGCAGTTCAGCGTCTTAACCACTTGAGCCACCGCAGCTCCTATTTTTTAGCATTCAGTTATTTTACTGTACCAATTATTACTATATATATTTTAAATTTTGCATACTTTATTTTACTATGCTGAAATGTTTTAATTCTCTGTCTAGAGGTGAATTGCATGTTTGTTGGGTTGTTGTGGCCTATGGCTACGGCAATAAATATTTCTGACTTTGACAAACCCTTAATATGAAACCAAATCACATGACTTGATCAGTTCTGGGGTGACAAACAGGATTCTCAACATGGCCGGGTGTATTGTTATTAATTATCAGGCATTTAATAGGGTTAGTTATAGATAGATATAAGGTAGTCATAGGATGGGAAACACAAATAGATATAGATAAGAAAGCTAGGGGGAAAGGAATGGTTGAGAGGAAATTGATGTGTAACCTAATAGATTTTTTTTTTAAAAAGTAATGAATTTAAACCCCCATACTGTCCATACAGAATAGATATGACTTAGAGCTGAGTTGAGAACTAGAACCTGTTTTCAGTAAGGGATTGTACTGTAATGAATAATTTAGCACTTATGTGACCTCAAAAAGAGATAGGAAAAGAGTTGGTTAGTCAACACAAAATGGGTTTTAAACATCAAAAGAAGGAAAGCAAATAGTGGAAGAACTGTCGGTAATAATAACTTGTGTGGTAGAAAAATAAGTGATATATATGACATGGAAATAATTGGAAATGTATGTCAACTTTGTAAATTCTGTTGGGATGTAAAATATGGGCTTATAAAACCTAATAAAATAATTTACAAAAAAATAAAACATGGCCGGGCGATGTAGTGGACGGTGCCTGGGAAGGAAGCGATATCACTTTCAGGTGACACTCTAGGAATGCCCCCAATCTCCATGGTAAAGACCATGGAGCCTAGGGGGAAATCCTAGAGCTTCACCATGGAGGCCATTTTTGTCTCTCACGTCTCCGTTTCTTGAGGTCAGGAGATTGGGGGGAGGGGAAGGGAATTCCCCACCAGGCCTGGGAAAATGGGAAGGCTAGTGAAAATGGCCCCTAGAATTTTATCCCCATAGTCCTTCCCCGACTTTTGGCAGATTTGCATGATTTATACCTGCACCTCACTTCCCCTGCAATGATAACTGCCCTCAGTTTTGAGTGTCATCCAGTGATCACCCTCGTTGTCATGAGGAAGAACGGAGGCTCAGAGTCCTCCACCCTCTTCAAAGAGCTCCTTACCTGATGAATAGAACTGGAAATGGATACTGGAGGCATCCACAGCGACCGAAACTGGGCCATAGATAGCGACGGCTTCTTCCAGGGCTTCCTCACTCCCACTTTGGACCGTCACCAGGGAATTGCAGGTGGCCGCTCGGTACCAGCTGCTGTATCGGCAAGGGAGTCCACTCTGCAGAGAAACAGCAGAAGCTAGACTTGTTCTTGGGCTGGCTTTCCAGCCAGTCAACTGCATGGGGCAGCGCAGCAAGGTGGGTGCCAGCCAACGCTCCCTCGAAGCTGTGGAGTCTTGTGAGCCAAAATTCTACTTTGTGAACTACTGGCAGTAAACTTGTGAGTGAGCCATTTGGCTACTGCATAAATTAGTTTGCTCTGGAGTCCTCCTTCCTGAGCTAAGACAAAGATGTGTGAGCCGGAGGCTAAAAAACTGTGAGCTAGCTCACACTAACTCAGCTTAGAGGGAACACTGGTGCCAACCAGGCCCGTAGCTACAGTGGGGCTTTTGGGGGCTCTGCCCCCTTTCTCAAAGGCACAGCCCCACAAGAATTTCTCCTGTAAATGCCTTTTTACATCATTTAAAAACATTTTTAAAGGCATGCACTCCTTTAAATAGAGTGGGGTGCTGTAGTTGACTAATTCCTGCACTGAGCAAGGGGGTTGGAGTAGGTGACCTCTACTCGGCTCAGGAAGGAAGGCTCCAGAGCACACTAACTGATGCAGTAGCCAAATCGCTCGCTCACAACTTTAATGCCAGTAGCTCACAAGACTCCACAGCTTAGAGGAAACATTGCTCACAAGACTCCACAGCTTAGAGGAAACATTGGTGGAGATCCCTGTGCTGTGGTGGCAAAGCAATGTTTTTAAAGATCTGCATAGCCAATCAAATCTCTGGTGGCCATAGGGTTGCCATCTTCCACCCCCAGCGGGGGACTTTGGGGGCGTTCCTGGAGGGGGCGGGGCATCCCTGACGTGATGACATCATGGTGGGGACGTCCGCCGCCCCCCCACCTGCCCGTGCACCAGATCTCCAGAAACGGCAGTTCCCTGCACTTAAAGGAGCCGGTGTTTCCCTTTTAAATGCAGGAGCCGACATTTCCCCTTTAAGAGCAGCCGTGTTTCCCTTTTAAGAGCACGAAGCTGGCATTTCCCTGCAAGCTTGCGGAGATCAGGCTTGGGAGGAAACACGGGTTCCACACATTTAAAGGGGGAGAGATGGGTGGCTGTGGGTGTTGGGGGTGGGGCTTCCCCGCCAGCCATCTGGCCAGCGGCGGGTAGAACCCCCCCAAAACGGGGGACCCCTGGCAAACCGGGTGGGTTGGCAACCCTAGGTGGCCCCTCAGAAACCTTGCTGAGCAGAAGCCCCACCTGCTATTGACAGCTGGGGCCTTCCAATTATACCTGGGAAAGATCAGGGAGCGGAACGCCTGGATAATCTTCTGAATGCGCTCATATGGCACCTCCAGCGCGATGAAATTAAACCAACATTGCTAGCACTGTACGATATTGTACTGTTTTATAATGAACTGTTCTGTATTTACTTTCATGTAAGCCGCCCTGAGCCTGCCTTGGCGGGGAGGGCGGGGTATAAATTGGATAGACAAATAAATACAGGGGTCATTTCCTGCAGGAGCGCACAGGAGCGGAGCTCCGGCAGTAAAGAGCCCAGGGGGTGGGCACATTCAACAAGCCCCACCCCCTGCTCCCAGCAGCCCTCAGTCAGAGCAAGAAGCAGCCAGGTAAGTTGCAGAGCCCCCACCCACCCACCCCCGGTCCAAAACAGTCCAGTGGCACCTTTCAGACCAAAAATAAAAACACTCAGCCGGCTCCAGGAAAGGCATCATGAAGAACCACGGCCTCCCTGGGCACCCTGATGGGGACTCTGGAGCCAGAAGCTTGCTCGTCTCTTTCAAAATGAAAGTCGGAACAATCAGAACTGCAGGGCCGGTGGTGCCCAGCACAAAACGGAACGTATGGCATAGCGTGACTCAGGAAAGGCACTCTAGTTTGAGGTCATCTGCTCCGACTGGCTGGGGCTCGGGGGGGGGGGGGGGAAAGGTCTTTCTCAGCCGCTCGGATCCTTGCGGCCAGAGACGCCGGGGACTGAAGCCACGGCCGTCTGCATAAAAAGCGGCCACTCTGCCAATGGCCCGCGGTCTCTTCCCAAACTTCAGGGGACGTCCAGATTCACGCATCGCATCTTACCTGCGCCTGGTAGGGGTAGCTTTGCTCGGAGTCGATGCCGTTATTCTGTGCCACGTATTCAAAGGCCAGCGGCATCCACCCCCCACCACACCCATTGGTACCGAGGTACGTAGAACAGTCCAAAATATTCTGCTCGCTGAGCGAGACCAGGTTTCCCGTCGTCCTGGCGTGCAACCCTTCCAGGGCCCCGGTGGCGCTGAAGGCCCAACATGACCCACACGAGCCCTGCAGACAAAGAAAACCTGTGTGATCCTGTGAATCGGGTTAGTCATGGGTCCCCGGCCCCCTTCTTGCCACGTTTCTCTTGGAGGTCTTGAACAAGCTCCAGGGCTTGGCACGGGGCACTTCAGAGCCAGTGTGGTGTCGTGATTGGGCCGTGACTGGGGAGACCGAGTTCGAATCCACACCCAGACAAAGCTCAGAGGACGCCCTTGGGCTTTTCACTCAGCCTAACCAGCTTCAAAAAGCCGTGGATGTAAAAGGGGGGGAAGACAAGCTGGTATGCCCCCCTTGGTTCCTTGGAGGAAAGGCAGGATAATAATATGATTGGCAGATGAGGCTGCGCACCAATGAGACCTCACAGGATTCAGATCACCACCAGCAGGGGTCATTTCCTGTGGGAGCGCACAGGAGCGGAGCTCCGTCAGTAAGGAGCCCAGGGGGCAGGCACATGCAACAAGCCCCGCCCCCTGCTCCCAGCAGCCCTCAGTCGGGCCACGAGGAGCAAGAAGCAGCCAGGTAAGTTGCAGAGCCCCCCCTGGCCCGCCTTCAGGTACAAGCTCTCCCTCCTGGGTGAGGGCAGATCTGCGCGTCCCGTCCCCCCCCCCATAGCTAGCAATCCAAAACAGTCCAGTGGCACCTTTAAGACCAAGTTTTATTTAGGTACAAGCTCTCCCTCCTCTGCGAGGGCAGATCTGCGCATCCCCCCCCCAATAGCTAGCAGTCCAAAACAGTCCAGTGGAGCCTGAGCGGTGGGTGTTGCCTTCTCACACACTTCCGGTGATGTCAGGGGGCGTGGCATATGGAAATAAATTATGCTAATAAGATATTCTAATGAGCTCTTGCACCTCTTTTTCTACGAAATGACCCCTGGCCACCAGACTAGAGCTTCAACGAGATGGAAGGACAGAAGGGGTTTCGTCAGAAGCGAGGAAGGAGATGCGATGAACGCAAGTGGGCCAGATTTATTTGGGATACACAGAGAAGGGAGAAGGACAGATCCTGATGCAGCCTAAATGTATCTATCTAAACTCTGCAAACGGTAGAACTTCTAAATTTTTTAACTGGGTACAGGTGGAAGAATGTAGGGCTTTGCCTTCTTGGGAAGGAAAAAAAGTGGGAACGTTGTCGTTCCAGTGTAGTTCCAGACTTCAGCCGGGTTCGAATCCCATTCTAATGGAAGCTTGCTGACTGACCTTGGACCAATCACAAACACGCAGCCTAACTTACAGGGTTAGAGCAGATCAAAGGAAGTATTTCTTCAATCAAAGAGTGATTAACACATGGGATTCACTGCCACAGGAGGAGGTGGCGGTGGCTACAAGTATGGATGGCTTCAAGTGGGGATTGGATAAACATATGGAATGGAGGTCCATCAGTGGCTATTAGCCACAAAGCACGGATGGAACACTCTGTCTGGGGCAAGTGATGCACTGTATTCTTGGTGCTTGGGGGCAACAGTCGGAGGGCTTCTGGAGTTCTGGCCCCTCTGGTGGATCTCCTGATGGCCCCTGGGTTCTGGCCACTGTGTGAAACAGAATGTTGGACTGGATGGGCCATTGGCCTGATGATCCAACTTGGCATCTCTTATGCCCTCTTAGGATAGAATGGAGAAGAGGGTGAATAATGTAAGCTTTGTCCCCGGGAGGACAAAGGAAAGGTATAACTTACATAAGAACATAAGAGAAGCCAATGTTGGATCAGGCCAATGGCCCATCTAGTCCAACGCTCTGTCACACAGTGGCCAAAAATACCAGGTGCCATCAGGAAGGTCCACCAGTGGGGCCAGGGCACTAGACGCCCTCCCACTACCCCCCCAAGCACCAAGAAGACAGAGCATCCCTTGCCACAGCCTGAGAGCCCTTATCTATACCTTGTGGCTAAGAGCCACTGATGGACCTCTGCTCCAGATGCTTATCCATAAGGACATAAGAGAAGCCAATGTTGGATCAGGCCAATGGCCCATCTAGTCCAACACTCTGTTATACAGTGGCCAAAAATACCAGGTGCCATTAGGAGGTCCAGCAGTGGGGCCAGGACACCAGAAGCCCTCCCACTGTTCCCCCGCCCAACCACCAAGAATACAGAGCATCCCTTGCCCCAGACTGAGAGTTCCTATCTATACCTTGTGGCTAATAGCCCCTGATGGACCTCTGCTCCATATAAGAACATAAGAGAAGCCAATGCTGGATCAGGCCAATGGCCCATCCATTCCAACACTCTGT